AGCATGGCAATGAGCACCGAGTTTGACTATAGAAAGCCGTTTTTACAGTGAGGCGTAACAAACATTTGGCAGTTTGTAGATACTGTAACTTTCGAACAGTGTTAGGGGGAAAGTTCATAACCAGGGGAGTTTTTAGGGTGACATTCTTTACGTAAATTTTTAGGGAGAAAAAATTTCTGCTTAATATTCCTTAGCTGAATCAAATTTACTAAGTGGTGCGATTTTTTTAACGGAAAATTAAAATCCTACTTTTTGGAGAAATTTTCGGAAAAAAAATATGTTTATCGATTTATCGAGCTGCTTACAGCTAATACAAATATATGAAGAACTTTTTTGTAATTTTAAATGTGCTGGAAATTACCCTACAAGAAAAGGACTTTTTATTCTGACCGACTCCCAGTTGAGTTAACGAATAAATAACGAACATGTATATGGAAATAAACCACAACACCTTTGTCAAAAGAAAATTCTAAAAAATCAATGGCAATTTTTAGCCACTTGAAGTTGCACATTATTAAACCAAAATTGGATGGGCTATAAAACTGTATACTCAAAAAAGATCTCATATTTCTGAGAAAAAAGTTTAAATATTGGATGAAAGTTTTTTAAATTCTTTGTTTTCCAAAAAGTTTTGAACTAATGTTTTGTGAGAGAATGACCTGTATTTTAATTAAAAATTCCTCAGAATAAATAAAAACATAAGTGACAAACAATATCACTTTGAAATGGGGTTGCTATTGATTTGACCGATACTGTATGTTCACAGTTGCGCCCTAAACCGCTTGGCACACTTACTGCAGCCTTTCCCGGGATGGTCATAAGCTGAAAATAATTTCGATATATCAAAGGGGCGTGCTCCCTCTCATACAAATCGAAATTTTCATACTACATAAATATTTCACCCACACTAACTAAAATTTTTATATTCACCACTATCTCTTCAAATATTTGTGGTAGGGTATTGATACATAGTATGCAGATATGTGTGTATGTATATGAAATAAATTCAATACTCATCGAGAAAAAATAATAATATTGGAAAAGGGGAAACTCCCAAACAAATTGATTTTTTTTATGTTGCATACCTCTGGAGGTGTTTATAGAACTGTACTGGAAATTGGTATCGAGATACTTATGTATGTATGTATATAAAATCAATTTCATACTCATGGAAGAAATTTAGGGCTATCAGAAAAGGGGGTGTGGCACCTCCCATACAAACTGAAATTTTCTTACTGAATATCTCTGAAAGTGTTTGTGTATCTCGATAAAAAAATATTATCAATGCGTTAATATTTTAGACTAAGAAGTACCCAGTATTCAGTAAAACCAAATGAAAACACCGTGCGACAAAAACAAAAAAAAATCGGAACACATGAAGCAATCAATATAGTCACGGAACTGTAGGCCAACTATAGTAAAACTGCGTTTTTAGTTTTTCTCTCTGACGTCACGAATTTTTTTTAACTTTTGACTTTCAAATTTTATTTAATTTAAAAAAATTAATAAAAAAAATCAGTGCAATTTTCGGTGTGTACAATTTATTGTCGCACGGTGAAATAAAACCAATAGTTTTTAAGCAAAAAATAAAACCGACTTCATTTGGCACATAAAAATGTTGGAATCACGTTAATTTCTACATGATCCAATCATCGGATCTTACCAAAATTAGTAGGGGACCACCTTTGAGGTACCACCTCAAAAAAATTATAGAAATCGGTAAACGTGGTCCAAAGTTATGCATGTTACACATAAAAAAATTTCCAGACGAATTGAAATTATGAAAAAACAATGTTAATTAATAAAATTATCGTCAATATTTTAGCCAACTCAGTACCTCAGAATTCTAGAAAAAGAAAATTTGGGAAACAAACCTTAACAAAGTTTTTTACTTTTTGAATCTAATAAACAAAAAAATGCTGACCTTAAAAATTAGGTGGCAACCATATTAAGAAATATGTAGGCCATATTTTGAGTATACATATATACTTATATATATATATATATATGGGTGATTCCAGCGAAAATTCTACCGCGTAAAAAAATTAAGAGTCCTAAATCTAACTAATCGTCGCTCGAATAAAGAAGCAGTGTAAATGCCACATACACTATTATTCGATAATTGCACCATTGGATAGACAATCCTTTAATCTATTAGAAAAATCTTTAGTTTTCTTAAATATCTCTTTGGCTCACTAATTTATTCCCGAAAACTGAAATTGTATTCGTATGGTTTGTAATGGTTTATAAAAACTTCCAATTCGTTTTTCTCAAAACTATACTTTTCATGTTACACTATTTCATTATTCCAGCGACGTAATGGTCTCGTTAGGTGGCGCCAGGGTCGAGATATTTTGAAAAACCGCATTTATGCTCTTGATTTGTTTCACATTTGGCATGTTTAGTTGAAATGTAATAATATAATAGATGTGCAAAAAATGCAACAGCTGGTGGCGCTGCCGTCAAAATAAAAAGTACGTTCGACATAAAATGCATGTTTTCTCCCGTTAAAAATTCTTTCAAGAACCATGTTAACAAAACTTTTACAATGGAAATTTTAATAACGTTACGCCAGGTAATCCACGTCAGATAATTCAGCTGATTAAAAATAAAATCAACCTTAAACATTTCCAATATTACTACAAAAACGTTTATACAAATAGTCTAGCCCAATTCGCTTTGTTTTGCAATTTTGTAACCCAAGTCAAAATCCACTTCTGTTTTTTGTAACGTCACACCAGCGCGTATGTTTACTAATAACTTTGAATCGTCACTGCCAACAGTTGTATATTTTTTACTGAATAAGGGGCCATTTGATTGCTACGCAAAACTAGAAAAACCTTTTTCAATTTTTTTTGTTTAACATTTTGTCATATGATCGTCACGTACCGCCAGATTGGACATACCCATATGTACATTATTATTATTATTATTAAAAAATGCTCGTTGAAATTAGTATCTACGATACAAAGTGGCATTCAAAAACATGGCCACTCCTCAAGGAAAACATTTCTGGATTAAAGTTCTCACAAATGCCTTTCATTTGATATCCCTATAAAGTTATTTCAGTTAAATTCTGTAGAATCGAAAATAAGTGGCAACCCTACACTAATACCTTAAGGAGTAACGCTTGCTATGTAAGCAAAGCATTGTTTACGAGCTTCATTTTAGTACCAATAAAGAGTAATATTGTATTTTAAATTTTTAAACAAAAAATTCAAGAAATACACGATGGATAATAGGTGGCAAGTGTAATCAAAAATATTTGATGGATACCCATATTATGATGCTTTATTTAGTTTTTAACTAATTTTTAATAGGTGTCAACGTTTTGCGAATATTTTCGGAGATAACACCTAACTAAATAATCTTAAAATGCAAATATTTGTGGTTTTTCACACCAGTGTGGTTATCTGGTTATGTGGTAATTTTTTTTATTCAGTTTACAACAGTAAAATACACTACAAAAAAGTAACAGTTGTATTCACCAAATTGAGCAAGTGGCCTAGCAATCTGGCGAAGGAGTAGATCGGCTCAAGCAACGACTGTTGTCAACTGTACCACTAATATTTCAACAATACCACTAATATTTAATTAGATAACCTGATAACCAGGAAAGTGTGCGCATCCACATTATCTAAATAAAAAATCCCATCAAAACCGTTAGAGCAGTTTCCTATATACATACATACGAGCAAATCACACGAGTTGCTACATTTTTCGACAAAAACGTGTAAGGGTTTACTTGTTATTTATTCAAAATCTCAAGTAAAGTTTTCTTAATGATCAAAAGTGAGTCGGAGGTGTCAAAATAGTTGGAATGCTTATTAAAGTCCTGGCATAAGCTACGAAAAGCATCATGCATTTCAAAATTTTCTCTACAAATACTTAGCTTAACGGGGCTTGCAAAGTCTAGAGGGTCTTGAAGGAATACAAAACGTGATCTAGTTTAGTAGAATGGGACTACTGACCATCCCGTTCAAGAACATAATCATGAACAAAACCCCGAGCATCTCTCTACGGCTGTGAAGCGGTGGCAAATATATGAGCTTCGAGCGGCTTTTGTGCGGTGGGAGCTTTAATGTCGAATACCAAGGCAAATTGTTTAATGCGAATAATAATGTTTCTGGGTTCCATACGACGGACCCGTATCTCAGAATTCTTTATCCCAACGTCAATTTTATCAAGTTTGTTTTTTCGAAAAAGGTTATTTCATGAAAAAATCACATTTGTTCGTTTTTTCAGTGGTTTTGGTTTGAAATTATATACAGCAGCTGAAAGATAAATTTATTATCTTTATGGTAACGTCATTAGTTTTGTAGTCGGTTATGTACCTAGTTTATATTATATTATTAATATGATATTATTTATATTATATATATATGTATATATATTAATATTTAAAAAAATCCAAAAATTTAAATTTAACCTTCTAAAACGTCTTTATTTTTTACTTGCGCCAAATAATTTTGACATGGTTGAAATGAGCGTAAAAAGTTGATCTACATTTTTCGTTTTTGCATAGCTGAACGGTCGGTATACTAGATTTATTTTAGGAAATGACGAATAACTTAAATTAAAAATGGACATTTTTACGTATTGCTTAGTATATCCATTAAAACACCAAATATATTGCAAATTCACATATAATTACTACAACACATTTTACTTCTAATTGTATACTTTGCTTACTTTTTTAGTACCTTTCTACTACCGTTTTCGCAAAAGGCGATCACATTCTTCCCCTTTCCTCTATTTCCAAAATACAAATCTAGATAAAGGAGTGTCAAATTTCAGCTGTCACAGACTACACAACCTTGTATTATTTAATCATGCTACATACCAGGGTTGTTGCGAATATTATTCCGAAATAAAACTCCTTTCCTCATAATAAACAAACCGCCTGTCCAAATTAAATATATATAACTCCTCTTTCATTTGATACCAAACTTGTTTAATTTGGATAAGAGGTTTGTTTATTATCCGGAAAGGTCTTTTATTTCGGAATAATATTCGCAACAACCCTGGTACATACATACATTTTTCCACAAAAGTGTTTACCTCTTCATTTATCGATATTTTCGCCCTCTCGCTGTTCAAGGATGCTTTTCAATTCGACTTTTAAGAAACTTCTCAACACCGGATCTGATACTCTATTCAAGATAATTCCTCTTGCCCTTTCATCATAGCCAGACATCAAATCCGCAATTTTATGCGCATACTCAACCCAAACGCAATTTTTACACCCAGCCAGGCAACACGCTTCTGGCGTAGGGGGCAACTGGAAAGACAGAAATGGCTCAAGTGAACTGTTTTGCTTATCAAAACAAATAGTACTAAACAATAGACCCACCTTAATGCTTTCTGGTTTCTGCGAGAGCATCCGCTTTTGTCGACTAATCACAACTTTTGGCAACGGTTTCAGCCACACAGCGGGTTTTGAGGAAACCAGGCGAAATGCCGGATACATTTCTAGTCAAATAAGAAAAAATAAAAAATCAATAAGGACAATTTGAAGGAAGTGATCGTTTGCAAATCAGGAAATGTGTCTTTTTGAAAAAGGCGAAAATTTCTCACACGCAATTTGGCACAGGTGCGATGTGCAAAAAAGTCATATCAGTACAAATAATTACTTGAAAAAAAATGTGCTTAAGATATAACGATGGGCGACTAAAAAAATGCAACTATATCAAATTTCATAACAAACTTAAGAAAATTCCTAGGTATGAAGGTGTACAAAAGCAGACGAAAAAATCGAATCGGAAAAGGATTGGCAAAAAAGGATCACTAAATATGGCAATGCATGCGGTTTTTCCGCTTACACTTTGCGGTAAAACCGGTTAGTAGAATGAGTTTTTTCAGCGTACAATTATACATACCTACATAGTATGTACATATGTATGTATATACACATGTAAGTACGTATGTTTGAAGGCGGACCTACACCACCAGCGTTTTTAAGTATTGAAAAAACGATAAACCTAAACGTAGAGCGGATTAAGAGAACTCATTCAAAAAAATAATACAGACTGTAACTGATATGAAAAGGAAACCAAAAAAACATATCCAGGATTTGCTGCAAACACGCTGACTTTGCGCTGAGCAGCAGATCAAATTACAAAATATGCTTGGCGCAACTTAAAAACAGGACAAACTTAACTGTGATGAGTACTTTAATTGGGGGTTAACAACTTTTTATGCCTGCATGTATGTATGTACATATGAACATTAGACCGTACAGGAAAAAAAAAGTTCGCCGTACGATGTGAGTCCAAAGTACGAGTATTTATGCAAGGCAATAACGAAAAAAAACTTTGACTTTTACAGTCGGACATTAAAATATGATATATCGATATTTTTGTCTCGAGGTGAAAATTGTTTTGTTCTAAAGATTCATTGATCTCAAGTACCCCGTTCTAGTACTTACCCACCAGATCTCAGTTCTTATCACCCTACTGTACAGTAAGGGTAGTCTTAATTCCCAAATCAGGAAAGGATGCACATGCGCTTGCAAAAAGCTTCAGCCCAATCAGCCTGACCTGTTATGCCCAAAAGTCAAAATGCATACCAAATCGGAAAGTCCTGTGATCAGCCCTTCCTGACCTTGTAATAACGATCAATATGGAGCTGGAAGCAGGTGAGCTTACAATGAGAGTCTTTGCTGATTTTGAGGGGGTGTTTGACAACCCTACCTTTGACTCTATGTGCTCTGCGGCCAGAAGACAAGGTGTGGACGAAAACATTATAAGGTGGAATCACATCATGATTGCTGACCGTCAGAGATGAAGCTAGCCTTTGTACCATGGCAGAGGTTGGGGAGAGGATGCCTCTCTTGTGGTGTTCCTTAGTAACGGAAATGCAAGACTTGGTTCGCATCCTAGCTTACGCGTATGATGTGCACTGTCATCAAGTAAATATCTCAGAACGGTTTGTGCAAAGACATATAGAATCCTGAATAAGATTGATGAATGGTGCGCTTTGTAAGGTTTTGCTGTCAATCCCTTGTCTTGTAGTCTTGTTTACGTGGAAAAGAAAATTGGAAAATCTCGACCTTCCAGTGCTTAGAGGCGTAAACCTAAGTTCTTCCGTGGATGTGAAACGACAGTTAGATTAAGGTTAAATTCCTGGAAACTGCATGCCAACGGGCTTTTCCAGCCTACTTGTGCTCCATGCTCTGCGCCTAGCCTAACCTAGGCGTGTACGACGAACCTTTTCTTTTTGTTTTCTTGTAAGGTGGTGCGCTCTAATGTGCATATATTTAAATGTGTAAAATAATTGAAAATTGGCAACTAATTTTGTTGTTATTCAACAAATGCGCCTCCAAAGAGAAGTATAATAAATTTACACACCGTCACACTTTATCCAACTAAAATTATACTCAAATATATTTGCAAAAAATTAGTCATTAGTCACTTGTGAGCAGATATTAGTATATTTTTTTTTAGTAAGATAGCATAAACTGTAATAATGCACTGGCAGCGTAAACAATGAGCTCGGCAGCACAGCTGTTTGCATTGTGTGAAAATTCCCGGATCAGCAGGAGCGGCAACCAAGCGTGTGCAGGCAAGCCAAGGAGGGGGAAAAGCACAGACATGATTATTGTGGGCGCATTCCAACTACAGCTAAACTATGTATGTAGTACATGTAATGCGACGACGCGCTTGTAAAAGCGACGAGAGTAAGGCATTTGCGGCGGCATGCTCGACTGGTTGAGGGCTTAATTAGTTGTTTATCATTTTCATTGGCCGACACGCACAGCTCTCCACAAAACAATTATTTAATGCCAATAGAGGAGCACTATACATAAGGATATTATTGCTGCCGGAAAACAGTAAATCATATTTTAAATATGTTTTGATTGCGTAAACGAGAGATTAATTTTCATTTAATATCTTCATTGTAGGCATCCTGCAGCCGGTGCGTGCACTTTCGACAACTAACCACATAAACATGTATATAAAAAAAAAAAACGAAAATAAGTAAAAAGGGGATGTTTTACGGTTTGAATACATAAGTAGATGCACACATTTGCACATACAATCATTGGTATTTTTTATTAATACGAGTATTGGCTTTTTTTTCTATGTCCATTTAATATCAGTTACACATGTAATGGGAAATTTTGTGTAAACAAGCAAGTGTTATAAGTAGAGCTTAACTTTTTTATTCCAATTTTTCGATTGAATCATTCCTTTGCTTTTGGCTAGAACTGTAAAAATGTTTCTTTTATTTTTCGCCTTTGTTTCAGTGGCTCGCCGCCGGCGAAAAGAAGGCCGTCAACGACGTCAACGCACTACTTTTAGCACAGAACAGACGTTGCGTCTAGAGGTGGAATTTCATCGGAACGAATACATTTCGAGAAATCGTCGTTTTGAATTAGCTGAAACATTGCGCCTTACCGAAACGCAGATAAAGATTTGGTTTCAAAATCGTCGTGCGAAGGATAAACGCATCGAGAAGGCACAAATCGATCAGCAATATCGGTAAGGAAATAAAGTGTATGGTTGATGGTCGAATAAAAATTTTGTCATTCTAATGAAATTATGGATTTTTAAATTTTAAATAATTACTAGAAAAACCTTATTTAAAATGTAGACCGATGACTTATAATAAATATTCAATACCCTTTACCTGTATTGTTCAGTTTCTGACATTTGAACCTTGAACCTACTTATCCGTGACATTAAAACTTAATACTAAGTTCAAGCAGTAAACATACAAAAAGAAGTTCGCCGTACACCCCTGAGTCTAAGGCCCGATACTCAATGTCTGGTTAACACTAATCTGTGGTTAAGCATCGTTATCGTTACCGACTCCCGGCCCTAAATTATTTCTGCAAGGCAATTTCGAACAATTTTTTTGATCGAACATATTTAAATGTTTCGCCATATCTTCGGCTTTTACAGTTGGATTTTATAGTATGTATTATACATCGATGTTCTTGTCTTGAGGAGACAATTTTTTTGTTCTAAAGTTCATTGCCCTCAAGTACACCGTACTAGTACTTACCCATCAGGTCGCAGTTTTTACCACCTTAACGTACCACCCTAATGTCAGTAAATTAAAGCTCGCCAAAAAGCATTAAACTTTTGCTAAAGAAGTATTTCGATTCAAAGCCAAATTCGATCGGATCTTAAAGTATTACATATCGATGTCCTCGTCTTGAGGAGACACTTTTTTCCAAGGTTCATTGACCTCAAGCACCCCGTTCTAGTACTTCCCTATCCATAAGATCTCAGTTCTTATCACCTTAACGTGCGCAGAAGTCAAAGTAAGTGGGAGAAGCTTTTTGACTGTCATTCACCTTCGAGTGGGCAAAAGTAATTCTTTTGCGTACGGTTAAAATTTCAGCTCACTACGTCCGAATAAAGAATAATGCGTAGAACCTTGCGTGCGCTGGATTTGGGTCCCACCACTTTAGAACCCCACAAAAGAAAAACATGCCTCGGATGAGGCCCCCTTCCCTTGATGACGACCACGGCAGATATATAAAGGAATATGATTGGAGGGTATGCACCTGGTATAACCGGACCCTTGATGGGTAACGTGTCTCTGTCCGACTGGCTGATGTCCTCGGGAACACAAAGGCTGACATCACCGTCATCCAAGAAATGCGATGGACGGAACAAGGCACGGTAAACGTGAAGTCTTGCGATGTCTACTACAGTTGTCCCGTAAAGGAGTGTAAAACCGGTGCTGGAGATGTGATGGACCAACGTCTAGCCACAATCAGAATCAAAGCGAAATTCTACATGTCGCTCATCTTCGCCCATGTCCATGCCGATCGATTTCGCCGGGGCCCGAAACATGGTAGTATGTAGTATTTGACTCTCAGGGCTAACTCCTGAAGAACAACAACCGATGTCCAGAACGTTCTTAAATTATGGAGCGAATACTTTTCCACCCTATTGAGTCGATGTCGCACCGTCCGACCCAGACGAGGTACTAATAAGCAATGACGCGGCTGAAAACCGCTGAGCTATTCAAGCACGGGCGAGAAGCTGGTAAGGTGTATGCATCAACTCTTGTGCATGTATATAGTCAGAAGAACGCATGCCCGACGACTGCAATTTTAGTGCGCTCTGCCCAATCCACAATAAAGGCGACATCGCCATACGCGCCAACCACCGCCAAATCAGTCTTCTAAGTATAGATTACAAAGACTTATCGAGCGTATTGTATGAAAGACTAAAGCCCGCTGTCAACGAATTGATTAGGCCCTATCAGTGTGGCTTTAGACCTGTAAAATCCACCATAGCTCAGGCATTTACAATACGCCACACACACAATATGCCCCGAGAATAGGATAGAATAGGACTATCAGAGAATTCAGCCTTCAGGACGAGTCGTTCCATATTGGACTGAGGCTGATCAACTTCGCCGGGGCCCGAGACATGGTAGTGTGTAGTACTAGGTTCCAGCATACAAATATCCATCAAGCTGTGTCCAGACAGCTACAGCTCTGAAAGTATTCAACGCGGGTGACGATGGTGGTTACAGAGGAAGAGGAAGGCCTCCTCTGCGTTGGAAAGGCCAGGTAGGGAAGAACTTGCCCTTACTTGGCATTTCCAATTGGCGTCAGTTGGCCCAGAAGAGAATCGACTGGCGTGCTGTTTTGGACTCGGGACAAAATCGCTTAATCGGTTACAGCGCCAATAATGAAGAAGAAGAAGAGAAAAATCATTACACCTTTGCTAAGGAAGTATGTGTTTAGATTTTTTCAGTAGATGTATTTAAAAAAAAAAAATTATTGCCGAATGTTGGAGTTACCGAAAAAGTAAAAAGACGAACCTAGGTTAGGCCACAAAAACCTTGGAAATTGCCTTGCAAAAATACGTTAGACTGAGTGGCGAACTTTTTTTGTCTGCTTGTAAGGTGGTACAATCTAATGCATATGTACATATCAGGGTTGTTGCGAATGTTCGCATTCGCATTCGCAACCGCGGAGCTTCCGCATTAATTTTAACTTTCGCATTCGCAATTCGTATCAAGGCGGAGCTTTTGCGAATGCAAATGTTGTGCAAGTACACCGATAAGACGTATATATGGCAAACAAAATTACAAATTGTAGCCAATATTTTTGCCTGTGGTCGTGGGAGTACTTGTGTAACAAAACTGGTCAAATGTCATATTTATCAACTTTGATAAAAATGTCTTTGAACATATTACTTCTTAAGCTATATAATCGAGCTATTAGTGGTCAGTCATACAAGTTCCCGCTTCTACTTGACCTTTGACGTACGTCAAAGAGAACATAGTCCTTTTAACATTTTTTTTCTGTGCTTTAAATACCTACATTGGTTTCTTTATTATGCTTTTTTTTCACCAATTTAAAAAAAAAAACTACTAGATACAAAAGAAGAAAGCGTGCACTGTAATTCTTAACCAAATTTTCGTGCTTTTGATGTTTTTTGCTTTTGATGTTACATATATTCGTTTCAATTATTTCAAATGGGGCTCTTTGGGGAATTTATTTAAAGCAAAAAACAGTAGTTTTGTTTACTTTTTGGATAATATTTTTTTCATGAGATCCTTGACTAAAAACTTCTGTGGTAAAACTGATCCTTTGCTATTTAAAGTCAAAGAGTAAGCTCCTTCAATAGGCATTTCCAGCATAAATGATCAACGTCTGGCTATAAAGAGAATCGATGCTCAAGTAATTTAAAAGAATAACGTAACTATCTGAGATTCAAATACTTATAAAAAATGGGGTGCTTTTTTTTTAAATAACAATATTCTGATTCGATTCGGCTGGCAGCCACGACTTTGAAAACACAGCTGTTAGATATTCACCCATCACAGCACCTACATACATATGTACATACATATATGTTTGTACATCATGCATGTATACTTTTACACCACTAGCAACTAACTACTGGAGCATAAAATAAACGGAAGTAAAAACTGTCATATTTAAAAATTATTGTTAACAATTAAATTAACACGAAATTAATTTAACGACATTTATGCGCACACTTAGGCCTAATTAGCCCTAAATAACACATATATACATATGTATGTATGTGCATATATATATCTAGTCTAAATACATATCCGCTATTTCCAAAGTAGCAAACTAACTACTCGTTCGTTTTTTATTTTTTTTTTTATTTTAGAAACTTTGTCGTGGCCAATGGTTTTATGACCACAATCATGGGACACACAGCGGCGAGCTATCCACCCCCCATGCCAATGATAACGAATCTTCACCAGAATTTTTACCAACAGCACAGCCATAGTAATAGTGGCGTTTTACAACCACCAACAACAACAACAACAACATGCACGCTGCCTGTACCGCCACCACCAACGTTGCAACAAACAACGCAACAGCAAACGCTGCGAAACTCGATAACACCGCATACACTTACACCTTCCAGCAACAACATAGTCGGTGCTACACCCCCAACATTTAACGCCAACTTTAACACACAAACAACAACACATACGGAGCTACAGCCACTGCTGGCCACAAATCATCACTACGGCAATTTGAATGAGCGGAGTTATTACAAGCAAGCAAACGGAAGCGCTGGTGGCGGTGGCTTAAGTTCACTCATCGATTCGTGTTAGCCAATTTCGAGAATTAATTTGCGGTTGCTTATTTTGAATTGTAATTTTTTGCAAAGTAAATATGTATTTTTAAGATTTCTACGGAATATACATATGTAAGTACATTCCATGTGCTTGAAATATACACTTACATACATACATATGTATGTACATACATATGTAGGTTTTGCAAATTTTGAATTAAAGCCTTCATCAAAATACCTTTTTACTTTCAATACAGCATTTGTTCAACAAAATAGAAACATGAAAATGTTAACGAATCGACATGGCTATGTTGTGGTCATTGTGTTTTATTTAGACAAGTGCATTTTATTCCGTATATCAGGTAAAATCTTAATAAAACTTACCAGATTTAATTTCTTCATGCAAACTATTTGCCGGCTTTGTGTAAAATTTGTAAAATTCGTTAAAAACATAGTTGTGGAAAATTTTGAGCGCTGTGAGCACTTCCTAAATATTTTTTGATATTAAAATAAAAAAATAGAGGTAGGGGGTTGCGGCATTAAAATTCCGACTTTATTGTTTTTGGGCCACTCTAATGTATATACATATGTATGTACTTATAAACCGCAAACATATATACACTAGGCGACAATTTAAGGTGCACAGCTTGTTCTAATATAATATTCACAATTATTTTCAAAAACAATTTTTTTGCATTAATTATTTATGAAAATATAGTTCATTTTATAATATAAAATATATTAATATTATTAAGTTTCACACTTAAGACAAAGTTCACTTAAAATTAAAAAATTGTCATCAGAGTGTTCAACTTTTTATTCAGAATTTCAAATATGCAGTTTTGTAGCTCATTCAATTTTAGTAAAACTCCAGTCGCTAAAAAGTATCGTTGATTTTTTAAATTTTTTTACGCATTTGCTTCCATATAACGAGTAAACATACATAATTTATTTTTATATGGAAGAAATCCGCAACATCCTCCACAAAAAAATCTAAAAAATCAACGGTAATTTTTAACGACTTGAAACTTGAACTTACCTAATAAAAAGTTGAAAATTTTGGTGACAATTTTTGGAATTTTTGTGAATTTTGTATAAGGTTTGAAACTTTGATTTATGTGTTTTATATTATAGAATGAACTATATATATACAGCTCAAATCGGTATTGAGTAAAACAAAATGCAAGCGATAGTTTATGGCTTTTTTCGAGTTTAGCTCAAATAAGGAAGATATCCTTAATTGAATACTTGCACACAATTTATTGAGTAATTAGGCTAAATTCTTGAGAACTATTCTTAGAAAACACTTATATATGGGGTTTTCGATACTAGGAGATCATTTGTGAAGATTGTTTTTTATTAGCTCTGCGCTAGATGGCGCTATAGGCAAATTTTATTAAATTTCATTGAGTTTTTTTTTTTCAAATAAATACTAGAATTGGAGGTCTCCATTAAAAAAAAATTCAGTGGCGATATGAAATTTACATTATTCGTATTACAAATATCTGTTTTAAACACCAGAAACAATATTTAAAACAGTAATTAATTTATTTATTGCATTTCCTTTTATTATTTTGTCTACTTTTTTAAAATTTTCCCTTTTCTTTGCTTTTTATTTCGATTATTAAAATCATCTTCATAATTGTTTTATTACCCTCGCTTGAGAGTGTAATTTTGCCATTCGACAGATCTGAGATTTTAGTCTGCTTTTGATAACAGCAATTTATCATTTTCTTTGTTATTTTAATAAAAAAATGATTGACTGTGAAAGAAAATATTAACATTATTGTTGGATAATGGCTACAGCTGATGACGTAAATACAAGCTATAACTTTGAAAATTCTTCACAATAAAAAGCAAAGTTTGAAGAAAAAGTAGGCAAAGGAATAAAACAAAATACAATAAATTAATTAATTTTTATTCAAAACATTAGTTGCCACGTTTAAAATCAGTTCACGTCTGATTTTTTTAATAAAGAACTCGGGAAAATTCAATACAATTGACCTACAGCGCCATCTAGCGAAAAGCCAATAATAAACGAACTTCCAAAATGGATTCCTCGTATCAAAAACCTTTATATGAGTATTTTCTAAGAATATTTTTCAAGAAGCTAACCTATTTAATCAATAAATTGTGTGCAAGGATTAAATTAAGGATATCTTTCTTATTTGAGCTAAACACGAAAAAGCCATTAACTTAGTATTCCAACAAGTTTGATTTTGTCGCATAGTGTAATTAATGAAAAAAATTCTTCATGAAAATATTTGTGATAATTATATTAGAAAAAGCTGTGTACTTTAAATTGTCGCCTAGTATACATACATATGTATATAGTAAAAACGCGAAGAAAGCAAAAAAAAAATGTTTTCGTTTCCAATTGTATTGGGCAAAATCATTCAAGGAGAATGCAAGGAAGATTAACTTCTTCGCTAGGACTTCTTGCATTGTTCACTCATGGCTGATTTTTTGTGCATTTACATACGTACGTACAGCAAGGATTTCGGAAAGAAGGTAATGAATAAAAATTTCACCGATAACTTAAAGGTGAGACACACAATGGCTAAAGGTGGCGCCAGTTGTTATATAAAGGTTATTCATACCGTTACATATTTGTTGTCTACTCCCTTCCCAGACAGCAGAGAAACGTAAATTTTGCCGACCGTGCGGTCTCGTACAATTTTCCGAATCCGGAAACGAATAGAAAACAACTACAATTATTAGGGCTGTGCGATTAATTGATTACTCAAAATTTTAATTAATCATAAAGTAAATAACTCAATTATTCGATTAATTGGAAATTATGATTACTCAAAAGTTCAGTAATCAAGATTTTTGATTAACCAAAAACAAAAATATTTGAGTACGTTGTTTTATGATTAATCAACATTTCGAGTAAAATGAGTAATCAACATTTCAACTCTTTACATATGTATAAAGTAGTTAAATTTGCTTGATACTTTGAAAACAACGTTTCTGTTTTAAAAAATTAAAACAAAAAATTTTTTTCATATACAGAATGTAAAAAAGAAGATAAGCATTTTCCAAAGCAAACTCTTTTAACGAGCAAAATTATTATTTTGGTTTGTTCTCGTGCTGTTGAGACCAACTTTAAGAGAGTGATTTTTGCTTTTCACTAGCCCGAAGTCGCCCGGACTATGCAACAAAAAAAAAAAACGGTAAGAAGAGTTGCTTTTCTTATGGAAATGTACGATGGGTTTGAATTTTAAAATTATATTGCTGGCAAACGTCAGACTGCCTCTAAATGGTTTTACCTTGTAATGTTTTTATGATGCTCTGAATAAAGAACATATATTCTAAAAATGTTTTATATGGTTCTGTTTGTAACGGGTGATCCATCTAGACCTTTTTTCCTTCGCTTTTTTTGAAGATCACGCGTGACTATGTAGTGTCATACTGTCAGCTTATTGTTATTCGGTATTGTTTGACAATAGGTTCGTTCAACACGCTTTCCGTTTTGTTTCCGTAATTAGAGCGTAAAAATAAGTTGCTCTCTCACAAGTGTCAAAAATGTGTCAACCCGTGCCAAAATTGGCCAGAGCGTGAGAAACGCAAAAAAAAACACTTTTCGTGCTCGGAATCATAAATCAGTTCTAAACAATAACTATATAACTAATAAATTTAGCAAATACCTACATTTCTGAACTTTTAGTGCTATTTTCCATTTTTGTTGTTAAACAAATTTTCTATCGGATGTACACAAACAGCTGTTATTTTAAATTTGCTTCTTGCTCATTTCTTCCCGGAAAAAGAGTCCGGGCTGTTTGGGGCACGAAGAAGAAGATAGTTACGATCCAAAAGTGGAAGGTGTACCCATTTTTCTAGCGTGAGGAACGCTTTCTGGTCTGTTTTGGGCACCCGCCCATGGAAAGGCTGTATTTCGAAAGTATTAAATTTCAGAAAGCGCTCATATGAGCAAAATTTCTTCAACGGAAGCTTATATCAATGATTTCGAAATATATATAAATTTTTCAAAATTCAAAATGGCGGATCCAATATGGCAGACGACTTATTTAAAAAAATTGATTGTTATGAAACTAGGTATCCAGGCGCATTCGCCGTCGCTGATTTCGAAACCTGTATTAAATTTTGAAAATTCAAAATGGGGATCCAATATGGCTATTTAGGCGACTGCTAACACCGGGCGCCTAAATGCATGCTATGTACTGCTCTGCTTGACTTACAATCATGCAGAGGTGGTACTCACCTATAGCTGCCATTGGCCACAGTGCCTACCCACCTTTTTTGAATCAATAAATATTTTTTTTTATAAAATACATACATGCAAGCATACTGATCTCCCCTCGCTCTGAGTTATTCAATGGCGGACGGCTTTTTTAAAACAATATTGGATTGTAATGAAACTGATTACGAATATTTGATTTCCAAAACTTATATATTTATATGAGCAATTCTAAAAAACAGGAACACTTTCAAAAAAAAAAAGCCGAATTTTTTAATTTATGGGCACACCTATGTTTTATACATGATTCTATTCGTAATCTCTTAATAAATCGATAAATATACAGTATCGGTCATATCTATAGCACACTATTTCAAAGTGATATTGTGTGCCACTTATGTTTATTTATTTATTTTTAAGAATTTTTAATTAAAATATAGTTCATTCTCAGACAAACCCCATATAAACCCAAGTTTAATAATTTGGTGAAAACTACAAAAAAGTGCAGCAAATTTGCACCTAAATTTCAAACTTTTTTCTCGGAAGTGTTAGAATTTTTTTAGTACACAGTTTTTTAGCTCCTCCATTTTTAGTCCGATAATGTGGAAGTTTCAAGTGGCTAAAAGTTACCGTTGATTTTTTAGAATTTTTTTCGCCAAAGGTGTTGCGGATTTCTTCCATATACGAATAAATTGAGTTTATTCATTATTTGGAAGCCAATGCGACAAAAAAATCTCAAAAATTAACGGTAATTCGTAGCCACTTGAAATTTGCACATTATCGGACTAAAATCGAAGGAGCTAAAAAACTGTGTACTCAAAAAAGTTCTAACACTTCCGAGAAAAAAGTTTGAAATTTAGGTGCAAATTTGTTGCACTTTTTTGTAGTTTTTTACAAATTATTAAACTTGGGTTTATATGGGGTTTGTCTGAGAATGAACTATATTTTAATTGAAATGGTGAAGTGGAAATGTAAAATTGAATGTCGACGACAATTAAATTTTTTCACTTTATCATTTCATTATATCATTTTAAGCGATTCCCGATCATGTAAGGCTTTTCCATTAACATATAGCACGTAATTATTTAGTAAGTTATTGTGAGTTCAAGACAATGCAGAAAGCAGGAATCGTTATGCCCGTGACGAAATTCTTTCAATTTTCCAATGTAAAGTGCCCTTTGGGATATATGGGAGAATATACCCCAAAATATTATCCGGAACTTCTTTGCATTGAAGGCTTAGAGCCATGCCAGATACCGAAGGTTGCTAAACTTTATACTAATTTGTATTAAATTATTAACTTTTTAACCAGTTTATCATTTTGGACTTAGTGTAAAAGTTTTTTTTTTTAGTGAAGATGAGTACCTTCAATGTACAACCTTTTTTTTGTTAACTGTATGTACCTACATATGTATATCACCACCCTAAATAAATTAGTGAGGTAGATGTAGATGGGCTAATGATCTATATTTTTTCGTATGCTGGTGGACTTCAAAATCATGATTCACATAAAGGAGTAAATATTGGTGAAAATTAAAAAGCATATGAATAAAGGATAGCGAGTTTCAACAACTGGGCAATACTAGTCTAAGAAAATGTTCAAGTGGATCTCCTAATTTAATAATTTAAGCGGGAACCCCTCATAATAAGCACTCAACGTTTCATAAAATAAATTCAAAAGGCTTCTCTTTCATATTTAAATTGAAGCTTTTCAATAAATATCAAGTCAACTTGTCCAATTCCTCGACGATGACGCCTATTTAGTTCCTCCGTCGTGGTAATTTGACGATCTGTGCTTCGTTTTTTCCAGCCAATCGACATTTGGGAAGCTGGCCATTCAAGTAAATTTTGTTCTTTTGTTTGTCTCTTTACTTTAAACTCTCTCTCAAACACTCAAAAACTCTTTGCGGATGATGCCTTGTTAACGATCAGTGATAGGGAACTACCAAATGCGATTGTCAAAATGCAAGATGATCTTAATTCTTTGTATCAATGGCTGTGTTCAAATAAACTCAAACTGAATGTGAAAAAGACTAACTTTATGGTATTTTCCAGAGCGGCAAATGCTGACTCCATAAGCCGTGAATTACAAATCAAAGATGAAAATATCGAAGAGGTGAAAAGTGTCAAGTACCTAGGAATATACATAGACAACAAACTAAAGTTTGATGAGCACGTTGAGTATACAGTCAACAAGATTGCTAAAAAATTGGCCTTATAAAGAGATCGTGTAAGTACTTGTGAAGAAGATATAAAACGTTGGTGTACAGGTCAATAGTAGAACCGCACTTTATATACTGCCCCACGATTTTCTTCCTAGCGGGGGACTCCCATGTAGATAAGCTGCAAAAAATGCAAAACCGAGCGATGAGATTCATCCTCAAGAAACCGTACGACACACCAACAAGATGTATGCTTGAAACCTTGAATTGGTTAAGCGTGAAGCAACAAGTTTTTTTCCACGCTATGAAATTTGTGTACAATATTAAGAAGGGCAACCTGCCGGATTATCTTAGTGATAATCTCCGATATATAAATGAGACGCATACATATTTGTTGAGAGAGAATAACAGCTTCAGACTCCCGAAGTATAGAACAGAAGTGGACAAAAAAAATATTTTCTATAAAGGCTTAAAGTGCTTCAATGAATTACCAGAGGCTATAAAAAATTGTGATACTATCACTCTTTTCAAGCGGCTGCTATTTGACTATTGTAGAACGCAGCCTACAAGATAGTGATGTATCAACAATATTGTGGATTGGAAACTAGGTCTTTCCAACCACCAAGATATCGAGACTAGGCGGATCGGAAACTCGGCCTTTCCGACTACCTAGACCCTTAGATAATAAACAATAAACGAGCGGATTGGAAACTAGGCCTTTCCAACCGTCACGAAAGCGCGACTGGGTGGATCGGAAACTCGGTCTTTTCGACCACCCAGGAGATATCAATAAATGGAGTAACCCAAAAAGAATAGCGCGGATTGGAAACTCGGCCTTTCCAACCGTCTACATAACTTCCAGAAAATTGCATGCGTTTATATTGACATAAAATAATTGCAGTGATAAAGAAATAATGTTATTTAAAAATTTCCGTAGAGCATTTTGTGTTTTGTATTTAATATTTAACATTTTAAATCTAAATCTAATTATAAGAATGTTAAATCTTTGTTGCAATATAAGTCTAACAGACTGTAAAAAATAAATAAAAATATAAATAAATAAACTTTTCGTCTTGCGGTTGGAACCCAGACATGACGTTACCTCGCCGAAGCTGCGTTTTGAAAAATAGATAATAGTTCTTTTCGGATGTCATACATGTGCTCTTTAAAGCCGACCAAACGTTAAGGCTAAATTTTTCTCGCCTGCGATATTCATGTGGAAGCCATTTTTTACAATAGTTTGTTTTAGATGTAATAGGGAAATCACTTACCTACCTTAATCAGTCCGTTGAAATAATTCGTTTGCCGATATTCATTTGAGAAGATAAATGTTTGGCGGCACACTTTTGCACTGACAACACTTGAAAGGTCGGAACATATTTTTCTTTCTTCCCACCACAACAGCTTGCTTCCCAGCGTTACATACACGCATATTTATTTGCATATGGATAAGGTTCCCTGAATCTTTCGTTTTTGAATTTAGTTTGATTCACTATACATATGTTCCATCATGTTAATTCTTGCCTTAGTTCCCTTCATTACACAACAAACTGTGCATTTTCCGTAGACAAATCCTTACCATAAACTGCATAATAAAATGCAGCATATGCTTTACTAACTATACAACATTATTTAAAAGCTAAAAATCAGTATTATTAATATTACTACCTTTATTTATTTATTCTTAAATATAAATCCACGGTCCCACGAATTTTTTCACATTCACAATTACAGCTGTTCTTATCAGCAAAAACACCGCCAACAGCTGTTACTAAAGAGCGAAATACACAGCACAAGCGGCTTGTCAATCACAGTGCTGCCGCTAAGGCGAATTTATATAAGGTGGTGTTACTAGCTCAGCTGATTTTGTGTATGTGTTTCGCCGTACGGCTTCTGATATTAAATTGAAAAATTTTGTTTGAATTTCTACACACACTATTACAGATTTTGACAGTTTATGCCACCAAAGCAAAAACAAAATACATGTAATGTTTTGTTTTTGTACTCCTGCTTTCACCTTATATTAATTCGCCCTGGCTGCCGCGGTCACTTCAATTGAAGTTTTTCACTTCGCTTTATAGGGTAGAGTTGTCAAAATATCGATGGCACTATC